TAACCTTGACACGTTATTGAAAACCAGTTTCTGACATATATGTGGATTTATTTCGGGACTCATTCTGCTCAATTGATCCCTATGTCTATCTTTATAGCTAATTCTGTAGTTTTATATTATGTTGTAAAGTCATACAGTCCTCTAAGTTTGTTCTATATTTTAAGTCATTTTGTCCTTCCTGTATTCAGTTATTAAACTACTATCCTTCAGTATCTTAGCATATGACTTTTTGGAGGTGAAGTGTTTATTGCATTTAATCACCATTTTTTTTTTTTTTTTTTGTACCAGGGATTGAACTCAGGGCCTTGCATTTGAGAGACAGGCAGCAGAACCACTGAGCTAAGTCCCTGGCCCTGGAGGTGAAGTGTTTAAAGAGCTAATTGTATTAAAATAAGGACATTATGGTGAGAATTAATCCAACATGAGTGGTGTGTTGATGAGACAGACCAAGACACACACACACGTACACACACCACCATAAGAGACACAGCAGAGGACTTCATCTACAGTGGCAGGAGAGAGGCCTCAGAAGAAAACAGCCCTTAAATGGCTAAATTAAAAGATATTTGCAGTTTCAAATGTTGGCAAGGATTTGGAGAAAGTGGATCTTTCAGATATTGCTGCAGAGAGAGTGGTACAACTGCTCTGGGAAACATTTTACATTTTTTGAAAAAATTAAATATGCATCACTACATCACCCAGAAATATACCCTAAGTGTCAGTCCTCGAATGAAAAAGCATATTTATTTAAAAATTTGTGCAAAACTATTTATGGAGCTTTATGTAAGAGCCAAACTTAAACCAAAGGTCCTTCCATTTGTGAATATGAAATGAACCGAACCGTGGCACACCCATACAATGGAATAGCAGCCAGCAATTAAAATGACAAAAGCAGCAGCAACACACTGCATCCATGCATTTTCTTTGATGAATCTTGGGGACAGTTTCATAAATGAAAAAGCCCAAACACAAAAAGGTTACATCCTGGATGACACTATTTAAATAGCATTTTTGAAATGAAAAAAACCTGTGGAGGAGACCAGGTCAATGATTGGTAGGGTTTTAGGAAGTAGAATAAGGGTGGATGTGGCCATGAGAGGAAATCCCAAAGAAGTTCTTGTGTGATGAAGGAGTGGTTCCATGCCTTGAACAGTGGAGGTTATGTGTGTCTATACACGTGACAAAGTGTGATACACAAAGTAACCCATCCCCAAAAGAAAAATGAATGCATCCAAAAACTGGTGAAAATCAAGTGGCATCTGTAGTATAGTTAATTGTATTGAACCAATGTTAGTTTCCTGGTTTTGATAATGTACTATAGTTACATAATATGCCACCATTGGTTTACATCTAGTGATGAATACACAGGAACTTCCTGTGCTATTTTTGCACTGTGAGTTAGTCTGTTATTAGTTAGTCAGAATGAAAAGTTAAGAAAGCTACTGAAAGGTCAACTTGTTGAATAGACTATCTCCATGGCTATTGAAGTTAAGAAGAATAAGGACAGGTGTATGCCGGAGAGGAGTTGGTTAAGAAAGTAAGAAGGTTATTCAATCAGGCAATGTGCTAGTTACTGTTCTCTCATTGCCGGGACAAAATACCAGACACCCAAAATTACAGGGGGAGGGGTTTATTTGGCTTCCAGTTCATAGAGGTTTCAGTTCATAGTCAGCTGGCTTTAGGGCAGGGATGGCAAACAGGCATTGCAGAGGAGAAACAACATGGCATGCACAAAGTAGCAAAGGTAACAAGAGAGCTCCACTGAATCTTTCTGCCTCTTTTATCCCAACTGGACTACTGGGACTAGGGTGGAGCCAAACCACTCAGTCATGTGTAGTGGTTTAGTGATCACACACCCTTAATCCCAGCATCACACATTCCAGATTCAGCTGTCTCTGACCAAATGAGCCTTTGGGGGGACACCAGACCCAAACCAAAACAGGCACACGTGACGAAGTTACCATCAGTGGGGAACTGCATGTGTGACAATAGCCCCTTAAGAATATAATGGAGCTAAAAATTTTCTGTCACCTAGCGATATGAGCACTTGCATCTTCTAGTGCCATGCATTATTCACAAGTGTGTTGTGTTGTAGGGTAAGCAAACTTGCCACAATGCTCGTAATATAAGCAGCACATACATTTCTGTACAGTATATAATAATTATGATTATAAAGACTAGGCTATTGGTTTATATATTTGATACATTCTACTTTTATTGTTATTGAGAATGTACTCCTACCTAGAAGAAAAAATTTCACTCTAATGTTGTATGCTTTGTTTTGTTGACCACAGCCACATTTCATGTTGACTGAGTCTTTTGATTATGTCATTTTCCCTTGTGCTTGATATAATGTCATGTTGCTTTGATCCTCACAGCCCTAGGACTAATGGGCTGTGCTATATTGCCTTAGGTGTGTATTAGGATGTACCATCTAGGTCCATGCAACTATACCTAGGATTGCATAACAACAAAATCTCCTAAGGATGCCTTCCTCATAACATGACCCTGTCATTACGTGACACATGACTGTTTAACAAGGGCTCCCAAACCCACCACTCCATAAAACATATATTACAGTTTGGTCCTCTTTCTTTCTAACTTTTCTTCAAAAAAGAGTGAATGGGGCCAGAGGATGTAGCTCAGCAGCCCAGTGCCTGCCTGGCAAGTGTGAGGCCCTGAGTTCAATTCTTGGTTTTTTTTAAAAAAAAAGAATAAATAAAGTTATACAGATTTACCTAAAGGCTGAAACCTGCAATTCACCTCTAATTTTATTCTTTGAAATTTCTTCTTATGCTCTTTTTTTTGGTATCAGGGATTGAACTCCGGACCTTATGCTTGCAAGGCAGGTGCAGCACCACTGAGCTAAATCCCTGGCCCTCTTCTTCTTTTTTTTTTTTTGATACCGGGGATTGAACTTGGCTCCTTGTGCTTGCAAGGCAGGCCACTGAACTGCTGAGCTAAATCTCCGGCTCTCTTCTTATTCTTTTAAGCTTTTATTGAGCATGTTGTATTTGAAGCCCTTTACATATTTTATCTCATTCGTCACCTTTTTGGACTGTCTGAAACTGGTATGCATTATTGTGTCACATAGGTAATAGCATGTTGAAACAGAAGTTTAATCTAAATAACAAAATGCTGTATATACTGCATTTCAAAAGAGGGTCAGGATCATAGGCAGATGTTTTAATATAAGGTTTCTGATAACTGACCACCAACTCACAAGCCATCATCCAAATAAAGACTATAAAAATGTTTTCAATCGATTTTAATGTGAGGGATAAAATGTTGAGCTAATTTAAAGATGTGCTATCTCCACGGCTCCAGTGTGGGCCAATCGTAGGCAGCGTGAGCACCAGAGAAGCAGGTGCACTTTATGACCTCTCTCTTCTTTCTTATTCATTATGCTCTCGTGCCCTCTCTGTGCCATCTCCCTGTTTGTATCTTTGGCCTCTGATCCTTTGAGTTCGACATATATCCTTAGTGTAGGGTTTGGAAAGTAGGATGTAACTTTTTGGCTTGTCCTGCTAGGGTGACTTAGCTGTCTGTCTCTGGGCTCCACAGAATTGTGGTGTTGATTCTAAACAACTTCTCCCAACCCCTTTTACTTTAAGGCAACCACAGACATTACTCATCGGTTACAACACTCCAGCTTTATGATTCTCCTTAAGAGAGATTTTGTAGCCTTTTCTAAATAATTGGGATGGCCCAGGAATGAAACTAATTTACATACTGATTACCCTTCCCCGAGCTCCTTTTATTAAAAATGTCACTGTGAATTACCACTTCTCCCATTTCCTCCAATTCTATTTCTCTTTTCCAGATAAGCTGAAAAATTGATGTTGACAGAAGAGGCAGAGGTACATGTTTGGTAAATGTACAGTTACTGGTTCAAATTCTAAGCATCTCGAGAAGTCCCCCCAATCTACAGGCCACCGCATACACACTTATTAATGAGTTCTTCTTGCACCAGGATCGCTGTCTCTGTTACTTTCATGCCGGTAGGATTTAGACTAGTTGCACAATGAGGACCAGCATGCATAAGGATAACTTCTTTTCCAAGGACTACTGTGATCTCCTGGAGAACAGCAACAAAAGCTCATCGGTTTTCATACCCAACATTGGTATATTGACAACACTGGTGCTGAACACATCCCACAAAACCTTTTCAGAGCAAGTCCAGGAAGTTGGGTGCATACATGCTCACTGTGATTATAGTTATGGTGTAAGGACATGAACTTCTGAGGCTTTTCTGGTAGTTTCTTTCAGCCCCTGTTCATAATAAAGATGAATCACACTGTCTTATTCTGTCAACAGATTCCAGATCACAAATGTCACAAAATTAAGATTTGGCAATCCGATAACCTCATGATCTGCTCAAGTTTCTGGGTGTGAGCACTGGCTTCAGTTTTACCATTGAGTCAGCTTGGGAATCCAAATGCCCTGACTCCATGGCCAGCACTTTCTCTAACTTAGTACTCCCAGGCTCTGTGTCTGTGTATTCCAATGATTTCAATCAATGGAACATACTACTAGACTGTGTATTGTTTGGGGAAAGAGCTAAATAACCACCTGCCAATTTTAACTCCCAGAAAACAAGGCCAACTTGTTAACAGGCAGTGGACAAATGCTGCCAGATGACTTTTTACAAACCAACTTTCTTAGGCTATTTTTTCAGGGCACAGAGTCTGCATCTAAGAACTTTATTTTCCCAAAAGCCAGAGACTTAGATGAGATTCAAAGGAGCAGAATTCATTCAGAACCAAGCTTTCTACCTGTAGGAATACACCAGTCACAGAATCAGTACAATTTTTTGGGAACATAGTCTAAGAGAAAAATAAGAAATCACCTCTTTTTTTATAAGTCCATGTAGAGAACAATCATCAATAAGAAGTTTATGGTTTGAACAGGGATTCTTTCCACTGTTAGGAAAATTGCAAAGAAAATCACCAATTAGAAGCATTCAGTGAAAGATAAAAAATTTATCGAGGTCAAAAACGATGGAGATGTTCTTATTTCAGACTGTTTTCTCCAAGAAAATAAGAAAAAAAGTCTCAGTTAAAATAAATGTGTTTGAAGTCTTTGTGGAATTATTGAGGCATCTCAGGGGTCATGACGCCAAAAGTAGTGCAGGTAACTGTCCACTGTAGCCGGGCAGTGTCGACAGACACTTGTGACTGACCAGGGAGGAGCTCTTCATCACTGCTCCTCCCTGCTCACTGACATCTCCACGGTTCCCTGAGGAGCTCGGCTTCCACGCTCATCCTCCTCAGGGGTGTCCTGCAGAGCCCTCTGCAGAAGTAGCTTCAGCGTCTGCCTCCTCAGCTGATGCCTGAAGCCACCAACAAAAAAGTAAATAATGGGGTTGGCACAGCTGTTCACGGAGGACAGGACAACCGAGGTCAGGTAAAGCCCATATTGCAAATTATCACTAAAATTATCCTGAATCCAGATTAACACGAACCAGTAGACGCCCAAGGGCAAGCCACAGAGGAGGAAGACCAGCACGTTGAGCAGGATGGCCACATACAGTCTGGTCAGCCGCACCTGCCTGCTGCCGCCACGCACGAATCTGAGCAGTATGGCCAGGCTGGACCCAGAGAGGATCAGGACTAAAACACCCAGGCACGCAGCCGTGGAAAAATTAGCTCTCAGACACTCGGCGGTCTTTTCCTTGGGATCCATCAAACCGCAATAAGACTTGTTCAGAATGCACATCAGCAGAGACATGGCCCAGAGCAGGACACACACGGTGACTGAGGTGTGTTTGGGGCGGCGGAAGCGGTACCAGATGGGACAGAGGACAGACAGGCAGCGCTCGGTGCTGATGGCACTCAGCATGCTCAGGCCTGTGATGTAGGGAATCATCATGACGGTCTTATAGCAGGGGAGGAAGAAAACGTGGGAATGGAAGTACGTGAGGACTACCAGCAGGGAATCTATAAGGTGGCAGCAGAGGAAGAGGAGATCTGCTGCAGCCAGGTTGAGGATGTAGACGGAGAAGGCGTTCCTGCGCATGCGGAAACCCAGGAGCCAGAGCACGACCGAATTTCCTGCGAGCCCAACCATGCCAGAGATGAGGATCACCAGGTTCGGCGTCAGGTCCTTTTCGTTGAAAGTTCCAGGAGCAGTTTCCCCCTTTCCTTTCCTTGTTGTGACTTCTGTCACCCAAGCTGATGTATTTGAGTCCATGCTCAGAAGCCCTCTACTGGTGACCCTGGGAACACAGACAAGACGTGAGCACGTGCTGCATGACCCCTGCTTTCAGGATCACCGTGCTTTGTGGGAGTCAGTTTTTCCATTTTAAGGAGGAAGAAAACAGGACTGGAGAGATTAAATAACTTATCAAGAGCTGAGGATTCCTGGGATATGGAATGAAACTCAGTACTTGTTGTCTGAACAGCCTGAACTCTGTCCTGTACCTCAGTCCCTCTAAATGACATGGAAATGCACCATGACAGAGACACTCCCACTCAGTGTTCCAAAATTAGAGACCTAGCACTACTCTGTCTTGCAAAATAGCACTACTTTGTTAAGAATTTTTCTCTCTGGTGCAGAAACTGAGACAGACAGAGAGGTCATGGTGACATCCCTGTGACTAAGAGGGTTCAACCCAAGGAATCCTCTTTAAGGTCAGGAGGGTCATGTAAGCTCTTGCCAGGACAAGTAGGAGGATGGCTGGGTGGAGAAATGGCTCAGTGTGTCAGGCATTGAAATAAGAGCTGATTGTGTGTGGTGGCACCACATGCCTGTAATCCCAGCAGTCTGGGAGGCTGAGGCAGGATGAATTTAAATTCAAACCCAGCCCAGGCAATTTAGTAACTTAAGTCCGGGAGTGTGGCTTAGTGTGAAGGGCTGGATATACTGAGGGAAAAAAAAGCGCGTTTCTAAAGTATCCACTAGCCTGGCTTCTGTCCATGGGTTCTCAATATTTATTCAGTAAATAAGTAAGTACAGGAATGGGGAGCCTTACGGTGTTAGATTTTTGGGGTGAAATGGAGAATAAAAACATAATAAAAGGCATTAGAACACACTCATGAGATGAGGAAAATTTCATTCATCACAATTCCTGTGGATAGCTGTGGGGTGTATTTAGAATTACCTGTGTGTGCTCAGAAACACATTAGCCACTGAAGGGCTTTTGAAGTGAGGATCCAGCATAGCTTTGTGGAGCACAGGGACACATGCAGGTACACGGTGTGGCAAGAGGATTTGTGCTGGAGCTGAGTGGCTCAGGAGTACAGAAGAGGAGTTACCGAGAGTGAGGTCTGAGTGTCATGGACAGGAGATATTTCAAGGATGGGAAGATCTAATGGAGGGCTACTTAGCGGTACGCTGTGGAGTGTATAATATAAACCTACCCGTCCTCTCTCCCCAGAGAGCTTTAGTAGAACATTTTATGTTGATGAAAGTTTTGTGTGAGAACAGTGTATGAGGGGAAGTAGAAAGTGTACTGGATCTGCAGGGGAAAGAGAGTTCCTCATGTAGATTTCAACTGTACAAAAAAGACCAGCCCATATCTTCGTGATGAACAGAAACTGAGTTTGCCAGGTATTTTCTAAGGTAAGAATTAGAATTGTCCCCATTTTATAGAGGATGGAATTAGAGCACCAACAGGATGAGTGGTTAGCCCCTGATCTCACCCAATGTGGGTTAAACCTATTGGGTTTCACCTTTTTTTCCCCAGTATGGGGGATCAAACTCAGAACCTTGTGCTTGCGAGGCAGGCACAGCACCACTGAGCTAAATCCTGGGCCCTGGGTTCACCCTTTTCATTGGCCCTTTGGTCCCATCTGTGTTCGTTACAGATGGATGGATGAAGGAAAATCAGAGGAGTAATTCGCCAGTCCTATTCAAGATGGCGGTAAAAATTACGGATGGGACAAAATCTAGCAGAGGAAGAGAAGCCAGTCACATAGGGAACCAAAGAGATGTGGGTGTAAGTCAATTAGGAAACTTGTGAGAGTAGCTACCCCCAAGAAATGCAGCCATAGCTTCAGAATCCAGGGGGTGCATTGGAGCCGGCAGCCCTAAGGTGGAAAGAGGGTACATCCTCCTGAGGATGCAGAGAGTGTCTATTAGTGATTGCATCCATCACGGACTCTTTCAGTGGAACAAGCTCCCTCATCTTTGGTTGGCTTGAACTGAAAAAGGAGGAAGAGCAGAAGTTCTGTTGTTCCTACTCAAGGTACTCCGCAGTTTGAAAGTCTGTTTTTAGGGTGTGATGTATTTGTCTGCAACAACCATCATGAAGGTCTATAAGGAGTAATTCGAGTCTATTTTATTTGCTCAACACTGTGCCACAATATTTAGCATGTGTTCCTAAAAATCATCTACGGTAACAGCCTCAGTTCACATTGGAAGAAACAGAGGTTTAAACAGAGTTTTCCAGGTATCATGTCACCTAGAACAGACCCAGTGCCAGCCCTTTCCCTATCTGAGGCTTTTCCATTGCTCTCTGCCCTATTGTTTCTCGAATGCCCCACAAAAATCTTCATATAAACACAGAATCTGAGAGACCATCAGGGGCTGCTGTAGAGACCACTAGAATTTCCCAGTCACCATTCTTCTGTAACATAGCGATTCCCTGTTTTAAGTCAGGAAAAGGATTCCATTTCCGTTCCTCTCTTAATGCTGAGGGTGAAATGTTACCAGGCAGTGACCAACTGGGAGTTGAATGTGGTGAAGTAACCAATTCCTGGGTAATGGATTAAATAGATAAATAGAATGAATATAGCCCTTAATTCCCTTCTATCTTTTCCTGCAAGGTTGGATATGACCAGAAGTTATGTAGGAACAAAAGGATCATGGTACCTCTTTAGGGTTTGAAGTAGCAAATTCCTAGAAGTTGTTGGGTCTGATGTTTTGAAACTTTCAACAAAGTTCTAATAAACCTCTTATTAAGGTCATTATTATAATGGTTCTGTGTTTTAGTAGCTTCAATTATTTTGTAATCAATAAAGACTATGTTCCCATATTTAAATTAAGTTCCATTTTCAGGGCCGGGGATGTAGCTCAGTGGCGCCATGCCTGCCTGGCAAGCACAAGGGCCTAAGTTCAATTCCCCAATACTGCAAACAAACAAACAAAAAAAAAACGAACAACAAAACAAAACCTTCAATGTATTTTTGATTAATGTGTGTGATTTCTCTGTAAAAGTGCAAGCAAGAAAAAATAACTTTGATGGAGATGAGAAATTATTGAATGAGTTTAAATAGAGAAAAATTTCAGGGAGCTGGAAGACATAAGAGATGGTCTCATGTACAATGAGTATCTTCTTTCACGTCCTTCTCTGGGCATCTCTGGAGGGTGGCTTCTGTGAACCTCATTGGTGGAATTCCATTCCTCCTTATTCTTGGTTGAACTGAGCTATTGAATAGCACCCCTCCAATGGAGGGCAGGAGGAGAGGGATTTGAGATTTTCATCTCCCACTCTCTTATTAGAGGCTGTGTGTTGGCAAAGGCAGTGATTCTCCCCTTGATGATTATCTTTTCCTACTGCTGCAGTTATAGCTGTGGCTATGCCTTCTGTCTGGAAATCGCTCCCTCCTTTATCCATTATGGAAATAATGCTTTATTGTTGCTTACCTTAAAGTACTTTCTATGTAATGCCATTTCCCCTCAACCCTGCCCATCTTTGTAGTCTCCTCTTAAAGTACTCCTCAATGATTCCAATTTGAACCATCTGTTTGTTCTTGGAACCTTGAGAGATACACAAAGCAGAGGATTTTTGAAAAGCAAGTAAAGCCAAATGAAATCCCTGTATAGCATCTCAGCGGTGGTAAGCAATACCTGTAACTTTTTCAGTCTCTTCATGTCTGCAGATTTGAATGTTTAGCATAAAGGGGAGAATAGGATGAGCTGGATCAGAGGGGAGAAAGGTCTAGTCAAATCCATTCAAAACTCCTAGCTTTGGCTATGCCATCACCCAGTTTTCATAAGGAAACTCCTGTCTCTTGCCTTTTTCTGAAGGAAAACCCCATGGTGGAAACACAGGGATGTGAACTCAGACCAAATACGACAACAGGACATTTGACAGCTTTTGGAGTACAGCCTTACCTTTGTTCCATTCTCTCATCCGAAGGTGGAGAGCTGACGAGTGCTGACATGGAAGACCCTTTCTCAGACTGGGTGACACCAGAGGATGTGTCTTTGTCCTTCAAATCCAGGGACGTCCACGAGAGGTGGTATAAAGGCTTGTGACCAAATGAGGCTTATCAAGATTCCGGAGAGTTTGTGTGATTTCCTATGAAGGTACTGGAAGCAAATCAGAAACCAGAGTTGTTTTGAAACCTGATGCATTTCTAAGATATTTCTTGGTGTCTGTGATATTACTGCTCACATATTAGTTTTCCCCATCACATTGGAATTCGTCCACTTCCCTCTAAGTACTTACTATTCTGTCCAGTAATTGCCAGCTTCAGTCCTAGGTAGGCATAACAAGCAATTTTATCTTGCATTGTGGGGCTTTATAATTAAAGAATGGGAATTTTGTTATCAAGGCTCATCTGGGCTGACTCCACTTTTTTAAAAAAATGTTTTCTTTATCATAGGAGTAATGCATTTGTGTGTAAACTTTTATTTCAAATGACAGAATAATATATCCAAGATGATATTCTCTCTGAATTGCGTTATGCAGAGGTCACTACTTTCTATCCTTATCCTCTTTCTTTCATTATCATTTGCTCTGAATAGCAACCACATTTCTGCTTTGAATTTGTCAATACGAAAAAGCGCATCAACGGTCTTCCCTTTTGAGATGTAAAGTTCAGCACACCTAACTCATTTGTCTTTTCCCTCACTCTACTTCGTGTAATTGGTTATTTATTTATTTTCACTTAGTGCATGTATCAGTCTCCTTTAAACTGGTGGGACAGAATGCAGACATATATGACTTAGAGGTCAAAGGTGTGTTTCGGCTCACGGTTTTAGAGGCTCTTGTACACATTAAACTGGCTCCAAAGCAGACACTTCCTGGCAGAAAGGGGTGGTGGAGGAAAGATGCTCACTTCATGGTACCTGGGAAGCAGAGAGAGCAAGGAAGGGGCTGGACACAGGACATACATTTTAAAGGATCACCCCTAAAGAGTTACTTTCCTCAACCAGCCCCTACCTCCAATGAGGGCCATTCAGCCACGAACTCATCAGTGGATGAATCCGTGGATGACTTTAGCACACTTCTGATCCAGTTAGCACTCTGGGCCCCACCTCTGAACATGGACGTATTGGGAATAAGCCTTCAGTATGTGGGTCTCTGAGGGACACTTCATATTTAAGCCAGTGTAGATACTAAAAAATGTAAGGCTTATTTTTTGTTACTTCCCTTTTCATTCTTCAAGCTATAGCCATATTAGGGCTACTTCTTATTTTTAAAAAATATGATTTGAATTAGAAGCTGAGACAGACATGACTCTTGGGGACCATGGATGAAATGCTGTGGCTTGGAGATGTTTTAAGTTTCATCTACTTTAAAGAGATATTTTCCCTTTTTAAAATTAATTAAGTTTATTGGTACATTTTAAGTATACATAATGATCGCATTCATCATGGGGGATTTGTACTTGTACATGATGTCTCTTGATGCTTATTTTTTCCCATTCCCCTATCCTCCCTTCAACGCCTCTTCTTCTTCTTATTTATAAAAGTTTTGTGTTCATTTTTTCTTCTTTTCTCATTTTTTCCCTTTTCCCTTCCCTCCCTTCCCCACCTCCTTCCCTCGGTCCCTATTTTCTTAATCTAGAAATAATGCATTGAAACTTTTATTTCAATTGTGTACAAAGTACTGGTCTCTCTGAGTCACATTCTCCAGAGGCCACCACTTCGTATCCTTACCCATTCTTATTTTATCGTTAGTTCTTGACAGCAAACTTATATTTCTATTTAAAAATTTTCAGTACGACCAAGTGTATCAGTGGTTTTCCCTTTTGAAATATAGAGTTCAATATGCACAAATTGTTCTTTTACTTTTCTCCACTTAACATAATTCATTATTTATTTATATCATTTAACGCCAAGCCTCCTTTTCATTGCTGGGACAAAAACCCTGACCTCCACAATTTAGAGCAGGAAAGGTGTGAAAGGAACAAATCTGGCCCCACCCAGCTCTTTCTGATTCCTGATTCCTTCACTCTCTCCCTCTAACCTAGGACCCACCCAGAGCCTGGGCTATGACCTTTGGACTTTCAGCCTCCAAAACTGTGGGTCCATGAGCTTTTTATTTCATACAGTGTGTGTCAAGTGCCTTTTTCTAGCAGCAAAACCTGACTAAGAAAGACGCTATTTAAAATATTTTAGAAATGTCCTTCAAATGATTAATTCAGAAAAAATATTTAATAAAGACTTTGTACTGGGCTAAGCTGTGCCCCACCAGTATTTATAATTGGAAACCCTAATCCCCATAATCTTAGACTATGAGTGTATTTGGAGTCAGAGTTCTGAAAGAGCTAATTAAGATGAGGACATTAGTGTGGGTTTTATCCCACATGAATGGCGTGCTTATAAGAAGAGGAGATTTGGACACAGACACATAGAGGGAAGACCAAGTGAAGGGCGCAGCGTCCCTCTTACAAAGAGGCTAAAGTAAAGGAAACTAGGGCCAGGGATTTAGCTCATGATTCCGCCCCAGCCTCACAAGTGCAAGGCCCCGAGTTCGATCCCAGGTACAAAAAAATAAAAAAGGCAGGTAAAAAAACGATTAGTTTCAGACACTGGCAAGAGTTTAGAGAAGAAGGATCCACAAAAAAGTAACATAATGCAGCAGCGTGGAAATTTTTTTTGCCTCTTCTGAAAAAAGTTAAGCATGTGCTTCTTATTCCACCTCTAGCATACATGCCAGTAAATGAAGATAATATTCGCTTAAAAGTCTGTACGCAAATGTTTGCATCATCTTTATTTATAATAGCCAAACTGGAAACAAACCAAATGCTCTTTCACCAGTGATATGTGAAAGAACGGTTAATACATCTTCATAATGGAATCCAGCTGTATCACGAGTAAACAACAAACTATCGACACAGGCTGCAAGTTAGATGGCTCTTAAGTGCATTATGGTGGGAGGAAAAGTACAAACTCCAGAGTTACACGATGTATGATTCCATTAATATAATACTTTTGAGGTCATAAAATATAGAAACAAAGACTAGGCCAGTCACTGGCAGGGTTTTGGGACATAGGATGTGGTGGGGATGAATATAAAGGGGAAGCCCAATATTTTTTTTTTCATAACCAGTGTTTTATTTGCTGGCAACTAAGTTTTAACACTGTATAATGGAAATGGACAAAGAATAATGTTGCAGTTGGTTAGATTTAAGTCAAAGACATTCATTAGTAAGGAATCATTGAATGTGAATAGTCCAGAAATTTCTCCAAGCCATCTGATCAGAGTATCTATCTCTGACTTGTACCTCTGAAAGGTATTAGCATACTTTTGAATTAATCTCAGAGTCTTTCAAAGTAAGTTGTAATTAAAAAAAAAATAGAACAGTTTTTTAAAATTGAGTTTATTGGTACAATCTAGGTATACAATACAGTTACATTCATCATTGGGATTCTGTACCTTTACATAATAGGTCTTGATTCTCATTTTTTCCCCTTGTCCCTGCCCTTCCTTCACCCCCTCTTCCCCTCCCCATTTACAAACACTTTATTTCCATTTTTTCGGTTTCTCATGTTTTTTTCCTCTCCCTTATTACCTTTCCCCCACCCTTCCCACTTTCCCTACACCTTTAGCCCTTTACTTCCTATTTCACATTATTAATTATCTCATTAGGATCCTGTGTACTATTATAGTTTTTCGCACCAAAGAAACTATTTGGTATTTCAGTTAAAGAAATCTCTGTATGAACATTAAAAATAGGGAATCCTAAAATAAAACTAAAAAGGAAAGTAAAAGAG